CTGGGGCGTGGCTGGCCTGCCCCCCCCCCCCCCCCCGCCCAGGAAGGCTCTGCCTCCTCTCGGCCTCTCCTGCCTTCAGCAGGGCCTGGCATTCTTAGATGGCCCCCTCCAGAGGATCGGAGGGCTGCCTCCCCTGCTTGCACCGCGCAGTGTCCTTCCTGGGGAGGCCGGCCTGGCCCTCTTGCTTCACCGCAGCAGGCCTGGTGCCGTTTCCTCTGGCTGCTGGAGGCGATGGGCAGGGGGCGGAGGCTCTGAGAGGACCGGTTTCTTGCCACCGGGCCGCTGCGTGTGCTCCTCCTTTCGCAGGACATTCTACGTGCACTCGGGGAGGGCAGTGGCTTGACGGGACTGAGTGACGAGTCTGGGACCCCAGGCTCACGTGTGGACCCTCTTCGCGCCTCCTGCCCATGCGGCAGGGAAGGGGCTGTGTCCGTCCAAACCGTCTGGGAGATCTGATGGGAGCGGATGGCCGAATGGGGCCGCCGCGCGGCTCGAGTGCCACACTTCCAAGCAGAGGGCAGGTTTTGGCCATCTCGGCTCTGTGTCGTCAGCCTCTTGGGTGGGCGAGTCCTTTGGGAGGCAGGGAAGGGGAGGCGGTGGCCTCGGAGAGGACTGGACTGTCCCTGGGCCCGTGTGGCAGTGTCCCGGTTGGGGTGTCTTGCAGGTGAAGCGGGCCATGGTTCAGGTGATCAGCGCGATGGCCCACCACGGGTACCTGGAGCAGCCGGGTGGGGAGGCCATGATCGAGTTCCTGGTCCGGCAGTGTGCCCTTCCGGCTGAGCAGGTGAGGCTGCTGCGTGCTTAGAGGGTCCAGCAGGACAGGGGCCACACGAGAACTGTGGCCCTGAGGAACTCTCGTGCCGGAATAACTAACGCTGCAGCAGAGAGGGTGGGTGGGGCTGAGAGAGCTCTGACAGAAACGGCTCTTTTTCAAGGACAGCTGTGCCAGAACTTGTGACTGACCCAAGGTCATCCAGCCAGGTGTAAGTGGAGGAGTGGGGATTCAAACCTGGTTCTCCCAGATTAGAGTCCGTGCTCTTAACCACGACACCAAACTGGCTCTCCAACTGTTCTTCAGGTAGCAGAGATCAATTCCCCTGGAGAAAATGGTGGACTCGGTGTCATTATACCCTGCTGAGGTCACTACAGCAAATTGACACTGTGCTCAAGGCCGGGGCACCCGCCCAGAGCCTCTTTCTGGAGTTCGTTGTATTTATTTCCACAACGGGCCTTATTCCTAGTACCTTGAATAAACCTTCGTTGGTCTTAAAGGTGCCGGACTGGACTCTAAATTTGCAAAGTCTTATGACCTCTTTGTACACAGAAAGGCAGCCATCTTCCCTGCCAGAGTCCCTGAGTCAAATACTGACATCCTCCAGGCTTGATTTTTTTTGGGGGGGGGGGCAGCCTCTGCAAGCAGTGGGAGGGGAGGACACCAAACTCCTCCCTAGGCCCAGCCCCAGCCCCCGATTCTATGTATGTGTTGAGCCGAGGGTTGCTTCCCTGCATCTGTGGATGACTGCTTCTGGCTGAGCGTTAAAAGTGTCCCACTTGTCCTGTCTTCAGTCTTCTCAGCCGCCCCGACGGCACTCCCTGGAAACGGAGGACCTGACGGACGGCCAAGTCAGGGACATCAGCGTCAACACACTCTTCCTCATCAGCACCACCGTCGACAGAATGAACGAGGTAAGGCGGCGGCGGCAGATCCGGGGGTGCATCGGGTGCCCGTGATCCTTGGATGTGTGCTGGGAGCTTCGTGCTTGTGCGTGCGTGCGCTTGAGCCGCCATTGTGAAGCCGCCTGTTGGCTGCGTTCCGGCAATGGGTCCCCGGCTCTTGCTTTGCAAGGCAGCTGGGGGCGCTTCCCCGAGCAGGGAAGCTCAGGCGAGGGCTCTCTGGCACCGCAGCCCCAGTGACTGGAAGGCCCCCGGCAGGAGCAGGCTGGGAAAGTCAAGGGCTGTACTTGGCATCTTGCAAACCAAGCAGTGCCGTGCCGGAGGAGGAGTGTGGGCTTCTGTGCTACTTGGAGCACTCCAGCAAGCATGGGAGGTGTGTGGAAGTCACCAGTGCTGGGAGCCACGAGCAGGCAACTGAGTGGGACCGCCTGCTTTGGGCCTGGCTCCTGGCTCTGGCCCGCTGCCCCCCCTGAGCTGTGTGGAGTCGGGGGAGGGAGGAGCCGCCGGGCAGTCTCAAGGCATATGCCAGTCAGCTCAGCTGTCCCCCACCCAGGTCCTGTGGCCTTACCTCCTGGAGTTTGTGACCCCCGTGCACCTGAGCGGTGCCCTGGCCCCGCTCTGCAGGAGCCTCGTCCACCTGGCGGTGAAGAAGCAAGAGGAGGGGCAGAAGGACTTCCAGCTCCACTGTGACACCAACGGTTTGTGTCTTATGCCTGGCGCGGGGGGGGGGAGGGAGTGCTTGGGTGGGAACAGTCAGCTCTTTGTAATGCTGATTTCTGCGTGGAAAATGCAAACGGACTTGTAGGCATGAAGCAACTAATGGGGTTGCTGAAGAGCAGACTTTCCTTTGGACTGGGCTGTTGCAGGTGGAATTGGGGGGGGGGCGCCCTGGGGAAGCAAGGTGTTGATGGGAGATCCTCTGTTTTCCGAAGAACGTAAATCTGCCTTGATGTCAAGTTCCCAACAACGTTTCACTCAGAAGAATTAGAAGTTTATTGAGACATTGATAGGATCCAGCCTGTACGCTGGCTGTGTTAGAACTGAAAATGGAGGCGCGAAAGCAATATATACAAGGTTCAGAGACCCTAAAAGGTTATGAGCCAATCACCCCCAGGTATTCCACCTGCCCAAACCAACAGCTCTGTGTACCCAACACATAGACAAAAGCCAGGTGGTGCAAGTTGAGACTCAAGGCCGGTGGATGTTCCCAGGCCCGATAAGCAACAATCTACTTCAAAGCATCTGAAAGTGAAAGCATGCAAGAATTCACACTCTCCTGACCCCCCTCTCGACTTATATGGCAAGCAAGCAATAAAATGGAATTTGACATTTGAGTCTTAACTGGCAATGCAAAATACCCCTAATTTGCTTAGGGAAAATGGAAATACATGCAATATTCTCCTATTAAGGCTAAGCTGCTTGTACTGTTTAAATTTAAAATACACCGTTTATAGTTAACATATAAAATTGTACTGTATAATGTACTTATGGATTTTAAAAGTACAAGTGTCTTTGTTTTCTATAAGAAAAATGGCAAGCATACCCAATACTTGAGAAGGAGTTGCAATACCCTCTGCTACCATTGCACGTCTCTTTAATTTTTGCCACCTGAGAGTCAGGAGAGATGAAAGGTGAAGGTAAAAAACCAATTCTGTAGTAGAGAAAATAGTTTATTTGGATAGAAAATCTCCCATACAGTCACAATGAGCAGGACTTGCAGCATTTTTGAATATTAAGGTAAATTTTATAACACCTTGTGTTGGAATGTCCCTGTGTTGGCCTGCAGGCCCCCTTCCACCCTGCCCTTCTTGGGGTTCCCAGCTCCCTGGAGGGGCTTTTCTTCTACTTTCGGGTAGCCCACCACCACCACCTGCCCTTTCTTCAAGGAATTGCCTGCTGGAAGGGACAGAACTCCCAGTTCCCCTTCCCCGTTCAGAGGCCTTGCCTCAGTGTCTCCCGCTGCCCAGTGCCTGGCTACCATGGGGACAGTTTACTGCTCTGTGCCCCCCTGGAGGAATGGCCACTTGCCAGCACCTTCCCTGGAGCTTCTTTTAAAATAGCATGCCTGAAACAGTTGGAGGCCTATGTGGTACAGAGAACCACTCCTTGCGTCAACAGTTTAAAATGTTTATTAGAAAGGATTTCCCAGTTTTTACATCAGGAAAAACAAAAGTCCTCAGACTTTTTCATGCTCCGTGCCTGGAATGGGCTCCTTGCCTTCTGAAATGAGGCTTAGCTCACTCAGGAGAAGAGAATCACTCCTAGTGATTCTTTTTCCAGCGCTCCAGACTTAAAAGTCCAAGGGGTGGTGGAGGGATTTTTCTGTTCCCCACCACCACCACCTTCCCTTTCCAGTCTCAGCGAGAAACGCCAACTATAAATAGAGACAAATGAGCAGGCTGTGTGGCCAGTTTTTCTCAGCAGGGAGCTCAGGAAATCCTTCTTCTTGGCCAGCTGAGACTTTGGGTGTCTATTGTCCCCCCTCTAGAGATGGTTCCCTGTTCTCCCTTCCCGTGACTGAAGTTCTCCCCCCCCCCCCGGTATGCTGCCTCCTTCAAGGGAGACCTGCTGGGTGTTGAAGTGTTGGTGAAGTGGCTAAGAGCGCTGGACTCTAATCTGGGAGAACCGAGTTTGATTCTCCACTCCTCTCCACTTGCACCTGCTGGATGACCTTGGGCAAGCCATAGTTCTATAGTAAGACAGATAAGGGGGGATTGCAGTATAATACCGATGTATGTATGAAAAAGACACCTCGAAACGAGTCTCAACTCCGGGGGAGTTCGTCCATCTTCACCATCTGAAGTTTGACTTTTGTCGTCTGTAAAACATATGAATATATGGTTGAATATGTTACAATTTGCATTAATAGAAATTTGGTAATGCACAGTTTGCAGTGATTTGTCTTGTTTACAAGCCATAGTTCTGACAAGAGCAGTCCTTGAAAAAGAGCAGTTTCCGTCAGAGCTCTCTCAGCCCCACCGACCTCACAGGTAGTGTTCCCTCTAAGCTGAGTTAGTGTGAACCAGCTCACAGTTTTTTAGCCTGTGGCTCACACATCTTTCTTGGCTCAGGAAGGATGGGGCTCCAAAGCAAACTGAACTATGCAGAAGCCAAATCGCTCGCTCACAACTTTAATGCCAGCAGCTCACAAAGTAGAACTTTTGCTCACAAGACTCCACAGCTTAGAGGGAGCATTGCTTACAGGGTGTCTGTTGTGGGGAGGGGAAGGGAAAGGAGTTTGTAAGCCGCTCTGAGACTTTGAGTGAAGGGTGGGAGTATAAATCCAATCTCTTCTTCTTCTTCTTCTTCATCATTTGCAGCAAATCTCCCGTCCCCGTGTGCTCTGATGTCCAGGCTGCTGGTGAGTGTGTGTGTGTTCAGATGGTGGGGGGGGGGATGAGCAGAGGGCGGGCCTGGGCCAGGCTGCCGGTCAGAGCTCAGAGAGGCATGGCACAGCTGGTGGCCTGGAGAGAGGGTGGAGCTGTAGCTGGCCGGCCTCTTTCCTCTCGTGCCCGTCCACAGGGGGCTTCAGCGGAACGTGCAGCTTTTTTCTCACCGCCCAGCCTGCAGAAGTTGTCGTTGGGCGGGGGTCTGATGGCCGCTTGCCCTGTTGCCTTAGTATGTGCACATCTCTGATCCTTTCCTGTGGGGCGTGTGTGTGTTGGTGTAGCGTGCCGTGAATTCTGGGGTGGTGAGAATTATCCAAGGAGGCAACTGTCCACACAGCCTTGTGTAAAAGTTACAGGGCTCCTTTTGTAGCAGGGACTCCTGTGCATATTAGGCAACCCACACCCCTAATGCAGCCAATCCTCCAAGAGCTGACAGTAGCCCCTGTCAGAAGAGCTCTGTAAGCTCTTGGAGGATTGGCTGCATTAGGGGTGTGTCGCCTAATGTGCAAAGGGGTTCCTTATATACAAGTTTATTACACAAGAAGAGAGAAGATGCTGGTACGCACTGACAAAGTGCTTCACCATGCACACATCCATAAGCAGAGAAAAAGCTGTACAATACCTGATCACTTATATACACCCCCCTCCACCCATCAGCCATCAGTGCTGCGTCACTCTGACTTAGACTACCAGCTCTGGACAGAACCAGTTTAGTTCAGCTGAGATGGCTGTCAAAAGCTGTCAGGTAGATCAGCTAGATCACCACCTGATGCCTTACTTGCAGCAACCCCATGCTGACAGTGTGTGGGTGAACATAAGAACATAGGAGACGCCAATGTTGGATCAGGCCAAAGGCCCATCCAGTCCAACACTCTGTGTCACACAGTGGCCAGAAATACCAGTGCCATCAGCAGGTCCACCAGTGGGGCCAGGACACTAGAAGCCCCCCCCACTGTTGCCCATCACTTGCCCCAGAGCCCCTACCTATCCCTTGTGGCTAATAGCCACTGATGGACCTCTGCTCCAGATGCTTATCTAATTCCCTCTTGAAGCCATCCATGCTTGTAGTGTGTTTCAGAGTGCAGCTGTGGGAAGACTCCCTTTGGGGGGGGGGGTTCTGGCCAGAAGTTGCTCCTTTGCCACATGCAGGGGCAAGTTTTCTTGTGGGGAATAGTCCGCCATGGCCAACTGGAAGTGTGTGATAGTGGTGGTGGGGACGAGTTGCCCTCTTCCCTCCTAGTGCTGGCCCTCACTTTTGAGTTCCTCCTTCCCATGTTATTTTAAAAGGTCCTGGAATGCTGTTCCCCCACGCCGCCTTTCCCTTGGCCAGTCCTCTGGCTCCGAGGCCCCCCCATGGCTGCCCAGCCCTCTTGGGGTGCTCAGAGCTGTGCCCCCCCCCCCCAGGCACTGACTTCCCCCTCCCCGGCTGGAGAGGACCTGGGCTTCATTGAGGCAGACCGTGAGAGGGGCAGGGAGGGATGAGCCCGGGCTCGGCTCTCATGGCCCAGGGTAAAGCCCGTCACCATGTTGGGCTCAGGTGTCAGACTCCAGAGGAAATCAGTTCCCAACGACAGTCATTCAAAAGAATAAAAGCTTATTGAGACATTGATAGTATTCAGGCATCTTAACTTTACCGTGTTAGAACTGAGGGGAAAGCGCATGAAGCATATACTGAATTCGAGGAAGACCCTGATGGCCCATGGCCAATCAGACTACAGGTAAAGCCCGCCGAAATAACAGGCCTGTATTCCCAAGAGAAAGAAGACACCAGGCATTCAGAGTTACATGGTCGGGTTTACAGAGATAACCCGGCCACTAGAGAAACAGCAAAAACGAAAGTAGACATTCCTGCCTCCCCCCCTCACATCTCCATGCCAACCAAGATCAGTCAGTGGCCACTCTGACGTCAGGAAGGAGTTTTCCTGTGAGAGAGGAGGAGAGAGCCAGTTTGGTGTGGTGGTGAAGTGCGCAGACTGTAATCTGGGAGAGCTGGGTTTGATTCCCCACCCCTCCTCCCCTTGCACCTGGCTGGATGACCTTGGGCAAGCCATAGTTCTGTCAGAGCTGTCCTTGAAAAAGTAGTGAAGGGCGGGGTATAAACCCGATCTCTTCATCTTCTTCCAGACGAAAAGCTGGCACACTCCATTCATGCCCTAATTCTGATACTCAGAGACAGACTCCTCAGGGCACATGACGGTCCCACTTACTGCATTTACTCAAAAGCAAGAATCTTCTCTCCTCCCCCCCCCCCCCCCCCAGATTGGCCAGGGATTCTGGAGTTGTGAATTTCCTGCATTGTGCAGGGGGTTAGACTGGATGACCCCTTGGAGTCCCTTCCCGTTCTGTGTTTCTATGAAGGCTCACAGCAGCGGTGTGAGGACTTCCATTCTGGTGACTGAGGAAGCTCCCTCTTTCAGCCAGCGTGGGGTTTGTGTCTTTCTGCTCCTTGGCTCCGGGGTTGCCTCTCAAGGAAATGCTGGTTTTCTCTCCCCCCCCCCCCAGGTTGTAGCTTCCCACCCGTTGGGGTGG